ATTCGAGCTAGCGGGATTAATACTATCAGCAAGGAAAAGGCTCTTCAAATGGGCGCACTAGCGTGGACAAGTTGCAACTTCAACAGCAATATCTCATCTGGATTTCAGAGCTGCGGCATTTTTCCGTTAAATCTTGTAAAAATGCACGAGAAGCTACACAATTTCCAACACAGCGGAGTTTCCGCCACCGTCAAAAAGGCTTCTTGGCTGCGATACAAGGAGACAGTACAGCACGATATCTTGCTTCTGCCTGCTCGCTAACACAAGCAGAGTAGGAAAAGAAAAACCAAGACAGTGGCTGGTAGATTGTTAACGCGTGAGATGCTTCAGCAACCTGACCAGCCCTCCCAACGAAACGCGCCGAAGCGAACAAGAAAATCGCAGAGAGACAGAATTTCTACAAAAACGACAGCGAGTGGTATGCACCACCAGGACCAGGAGCTTCATCAAAAGCAATACCACGATCACAACCACGAGAACGAGCACAAACACGAAGAGGAACAAGGCATGGAGAGCGAATTGGTGCTAGTGCAGCAGCAGTCAGAAGTTGCTAGCAGTGATACGGTTCTGTTCGAGGTGAGCCTCTAAATACTCCGGATTTTAATTCACCATCTATTTTAATCAAAGTCAAGGTTATAATTTTATATAGGCTCTAATCGGAATTTACAGAAATTCAACAGTACGTGCACGATCGTACATAAAAGCCTCTTGTCCATACTCAAGTCAAGTTAAAAATTGTCTTAAACTGGCACACGACGAAAAAAGATGGTAATTTCAAACCGCCACTGATGGCCGAATAGTACTCAATTAATGTGTTGCGCTAACAATAAGAAAGACGAGATTCTGATAATTCCAGTCGTGGTTGTTTTATCAATGTCCGTTGAAAATTATGAGCTTTTAAAGCTGGTCATCTGTCACTGACTTAAACTGGCATTTTACCTTACCGGTAAAGTACCGGCGATAAAACGCTCGTAATCCACAAAGCGCATAATCCTACTGTCCATTTTTCGGCCTTTTCGGCTTCCACTTCAAAATTTCCGTTGGCCATTCCAGAACGTTAGCACAATCCTCTCGTCTGCTCGATGAACTCTTACGCTCTGAGCCCGCCCAATTGCTCGGTACTAAGCGACGCCGTGATCGGAGTTGTGCTGCAGCGGCCGATGTGGAATACCCGGCGCAACGCTGCTGATCGCATTGAGAAAAGTTGTTCCATCACACCCTCCCACCAACAGCAGTTCAGACGTCCCACGTGTCTGCATGCGGGGACACCTTGAGGAACCACCAGCATCCACTTCCAAGTCCACTGTACTTCCATCTCCCGTCGCTGAGCTTATCGGGATGAGAAGTTCATCCAATATACGAACGTCTGACATCAAGACTGTACAGTGCATCATTGAGAGTATTCAAATGAGCGATCACAGTATCCCACCCGATTTGCAACAAGTCATTGTGGCCGAAGTCTTAAAAACTAAAAATCGCTATCGAGAACGTCATCGCATCTACCAGGCGCGCTACAGACAGAGACAGTCGCAAGCCGAGACCAAGTTTAAGAACGCTATCATCAAACTAAAATTGGAGATTAAGGACATCCAAAAGAAGAGCAAGGCCCCTGTTCGTCTTGCGACAAGCCCGATGAGTTGGGAATTGGTGTCCGCGTATTTTTGGTACTTGAACAACTACGTGGCGTCACCAGGAACACTGTACAGGAATGCATTCGAGTTTCTCCACGCGAATGTGGCACCAGACGTCGTGGACGGCTCACTATTTGGTATTCAAGCACAAATAGACAACTGGAGATTCCTCGGCTATTGTTTCGATGATGTCCGAGTGGAGCTGAAGGGCTTAAAAATGCTCACTTCTGACATTTTGATAGCTGGAACAGTCACAACCGTGACCTTCACGGCCCAAACCCTGCGTCTCATGTTTCCACACCTTAACAGCGATGGTGTTGGTGGTAGAAAAGGTGGTGTGTGGTCACCCCTTGCTGCTAAGACGCTTTTTAAGAAGATCGTCATGTCTGGTTCGGTGACGTTTACTTGGCATTGCACAACAGATAAAGTGGCGAGCATCTACACTCAGGCGGACTTGATAACTCCAATTTTGAATCTGTTAGGTAGTTTAGATCAAGTGTCATGCTTTTTCGGCAAGGCCGGAGTCACACCCGATTGCCGATTTGTTAAACGCTACTAGGGCTCGGACAGGCGAGTACTTATGATGGAATGATGCAGAAGGAAGTTACCCGGGAATGATAAATGACGAATAAACTTAATTTCACGGCCAGCGAAAAAATACCGAACCATTAGAAGCGTGTGCTCACGATAACTACAGTAGTCGCTCCAACTTCAAGACGGAAGCTCGAAAATTGATGTGCAAAAGAAGCTAGCTGTCCACTAACAGCTCGAATTTTTTTCGTTGATGAGATTAGTTACAGGCCCAATCTGCGTATTCATCCATATCGCAACCGTTCCGACACCCTAGCTCTTTCCGACAAGTTTTCCACAAAAAATGGGACGTATCTCTTTAACCTCATCGCAAGACCTGTCCCGTTATGTGGTGAAATTCTACCATCAAAAAGTGGCTTAATGTGATACTGGGTGACGAATAATATGTCCTACACGATTCTTAAATGTCCTATTTGACCTAAAATTAGACTTGTCTCTAGATTGTTGAATTAATTAACTAGCTGGCTGCGGCGCCTCCGCTTGTGAGAAACATTTCGTACTTCGCGTTAATGTAGGACAAATTGGCATTTTATCGGGTGGTATTATTTTCTTTCTGATACTGTATTACAGCCTACTAATAATCTAGTAGGAACTAGTTTAGCGTCGATGCCCGGTGATGATGTAAGAGAGACAGTTAGCGTTGTATTAACGTCACTTGGCCTAAAGTACGTGCGAAGCTCCAGGTGACAAACAAAATTGTGACAAGGAAATGCTTGCGACGTGTAAAAGTCTTCTGAAGGTTAAGTAATCCACTTTTTAGAGTGATGGTCACTTAATGGGCATCATCAATTCCTTGCTATTCGGATGCGATAAGTACGTGACTAAATTGTCTGCACCTGTCGCAGTACTTCGCTAACAGTGTTTTTTTTGTGTGTAATGTACTTCATCGACCACGAGAAGACGGTCTATTTGTCCGATCTAAAGCTGATTATCGGCAGTCAAACGTTGGCTCCCGGCTCTGTTATCGCTGCAGACAACGTGGTGAGACCTGGTGCGCCCGACTACCTCGAGTTTATTGAGAACAACCCTCAATTCTCGACTGAGCGTCACACGATCAACTGTGGACGTGACGGCCTATTGCTGCCAGACCTTTCCATCGCCACATTCTTAGGATAATGGTATCCACAACCTTGAGGATGTGGGTTCCAAGTACTTTTACATTTGTTTTATAGTACTTTCATCAATGCATTTTTTGCCATGTCATGGGATCTGGAGCATAATTGAGCTGTTATTTGGACCTGGTGAGCATGTACAAATACTGGTCGACGATTCTGTCGGCATTGAAGATATGCCGGGAAGCTAGCGTGTCCAGATGGACAGCGTCGAGCTCGAATAGCTTTTTCGCCTTGATAAAGAACGATAAATCGTGCTCTTCGTGGCCTGGGACGTGGTGGGCAAAACTCACAAATACCTGTTAAGACACCAGCAAATTTCGATCACAACAATGCGATTCAAATAGAGAAGAACATGTCGCACCTTTCCTCCAGGTGACAGACACGCGTCGATTGATTTCAGCATGCTTGATAAGCCAACAAATAAATAAGACCATCTTCAAATTTCAAGTCAGCGCTTTACACTTACCAGGTTATGCAGCCATAGACACTCTGCAACAACTGCCACTTCAAATCGAGCTTTTGTCGAGTCGTCTGGAGTTTCAGACTCTTTTTGCTCGTCCAAGGGGGCCCTTTATGGCAAATGCATTCATTGCATCGTTGAAAGCTGCAATTGGACACCCGGACCCAGGTGCCCCAGGAATTCGCAGCTCTGGGATCGATGGTAGCATGATCTTTCGTCAAACTCCTAAGGCCGTGTTCGGTTTGCAGGGGCAAATCCAGCTTGTTTGGAAATAAGCTAGAACTGTAGAACAGTCGTTTTGTTAAGTAAAATAAAGATAAAATAAGTGATCGTGTTCCATCAGAAAAAGGCTGGATTTGAATTAGCTGTAATTGTTATTAGAGAGCTGGAATGTCTCAACCAGCTTGAATCCGCTAAGAAACACAAAAAATGATTTTAGCTTAGATCGAACACGACCTAAATTAGAGCGTTGTTATCGTCAACAATATAATACACGAGTATTATTAGCGAGGCGGCATGAAACACTACTATATAAAGTGGAAGTACTACATGTATACTACTGGACTATTCATACCAGAGAGGAGATGACGTCAACACGAGAGCTTCCCGGGCATTGCACGACATCAGTTTCATGATGAGCTCGGCTCCGGATCACACGACGCTTATTATAAGATGCTGCGAGTAATGCAAATTACATGGAGAGATAATGGACATTAAGACACTGTGAAGCGTTTGAAAACTCCTAGCAGAGGATTCGATGTTAAACATTACGTTGGCGCCGGAGTGCACATCCTTTGTCGCCGAGTTAGCGAGCACTTTACTGCTTATTTACACTCACTGAGTTTGGTGTTTAGCGTGGATGGCTGCGGAACAGTATGAGTACAAATTTTGCGTAAACACCTAGGTCACGTAATACTACCTAAGATTATGCAAAATTTCATCGTTTGCCCCCATTTCTGTAGTACCGGTACTACCGGTATAAATTAAGTGTTTCATTCTGAAAGAACCATTACCCTTGAGGATTGATTTCAATAATTTTTTACCCTTTAGGATTCAAATCAATGGAAGGATCTACTACCAGCGCCACTAGATCGGAGATAGCGAAGTAGGTAAGCTACGAATCAGCCTAGTCCATGATGTCCTACGGCCCCACGAGCTGCACTATCACATGGCCTCGAAGATAGAGGTCGCGCTTGACCACAAATGAATGTACACTTCAAGCACCTATCGCTTAGTGCCGATGTATGAGAGTAGAAACCAGCAGCTTCAAGTACGAGCCCCCGGCCACCCCGAACGACCTTAAGAAGATGTTTGTTGGCCCAAAACATACACGGTACGCAAGGAAATACTTAAAGGCATCAGCGGCGTCTTTAAGCCTGAAGGGATCACACTATTGCTCGGCCAGCCTGGCTCAGGTAAATCGGCACTTTCGAAAGTGTTAAGTGGCCTGTTTCCTATCGCGAAAAATATCACGATGGGAGACGTAACATTTAACAACGTTTCACGCTTCCGCAGCTCGTGTCGAACGTGACCCAACGTGATAAGCGTTTCCCGACGCTGACGGAGAAATAAACTCTCGAGTTCGCCCACAAATTCGGTGGAGGGATTCTTATGCGTCGCGGTAAAGAACTTCTCTCTAAGGGCTCGGACAAAGAGAACTTCGAAGCTCTGGAGGCCACAAAGGCTTACTTCAAGCACTACCCGGAGATTGTGATTCAACGACTAGGACTGCAGAGCTGCCAGGCCACTGTCATTGGAGACGCTATGTTGCGTGGTGTTTCTGGAGACGAACGAAAACGAGTGACGACTGGGAAGATGGAGTTTGGTATGAAGTGCCGCAACCTACGACATTATCAACAGGCAACGCAGTGTTGCGAACACGCTCCGCAAGAACGTGGTCATCGCGCTGCTGCAGCCTTCTCCCGAAGTTATTTCTCTGTTCGACGACGTCATGATCTTGAACGAGAATGATCTCATGTACCACATTCCTTGTAACCAGGTGCAGGAGTACTTCGCAAGTCTTGGCTTTTCGTGTCCGCCAGAGCGCAACATCGCCGACTATCTGCTGGATCTAGGGACGGCGGAACAGCGCCATTACGAAGCACTTAACTTTGCAACCAAGCGGCCACGCCGTGCTAGTGAGTTCGCTGATATCTTCAAGTGCTCGAACATCCACCAGGAAATGCTCAGTGTACTGGAAGCCCCTCACGCTCCAGAGCTACTGCGAGTTACCAGCGACAACATTGCATCCATGCTGGTGTTTCATCAAGGCTCCGTGGCAGGCACGGTGACTCTACTACGTCGTCAACTCATTGTCCGTTCAGTTGACGATGATTACCGTGATGGGTCATCTGTATTGCACAACGTTTTAGAAATTCGACCCAACCCAAATCGCCATCGTGATGGGTGTTATCTTCTTGGCGATTCTGTTCTTGTCCATGGGTCAATCGTCCCAAATCCCGCCGAGTGGAGTCCAGTACCGTTTGACGTGTGCGTGTATAACGGTAGCGACTATTGATTGACCACCACTGACAAATTACTTGGATATGATTGGCTATCGAAAACAAAATAATGTATGATTGGTCATTAATGATAATACTAAACTTAAGAGAGGTCGGATAAGTGATGATATTCTCCATTTTCTTTCTTCATGACGAAAGGTACCCTTTCGTGCGCAGCTTCTTCTCAGGTATCACTGTGAGAAGATCGAGGATCCCAGATGACTTAGCCGCGGCAATTTAATCGGTCGAGTTCCGCAACTGTACCATTTGGTGGCGAACGGCTTATTTCCAGTGGAACAGACAGTTAACGATGTGTGCACTCTCGAACTGGTCACGGATACCAAGATGTAATGTCTGCTTAAAGTCACACACCACACTGGAGACTCACTGAAATGGATTCCAATAGGACCAGTGATCTTTAGCGTCCATCAGGATAAAAGAGCACGGGATATAAATATCGTGTGCATTATCATATATCATAACACGGGTAAACGACTTGGGAGCGACACTGTAAGTAGCGTCGATGAACAGAGATATTCCAGGATATTTTATTAGTCAAATCAGATCAAGACGTCCAAAAACTCGGCAAGTCTGCGAAACTTTTTTCGATAGGATACGCCAAATTTACTTGGAAAAATTCTCGCTCGTTATACTCTGAGATTGTGTGGATATTGCTCGAAATGCGTCACCACATGTGGACTCATCGCGACAGCGCTTGATAATACGAACACTTTCTGCTTTCGGTAAGAACCGAAGTCTTGCGCGCTATCCGTACTGAGCTATCATTTCATCTCGAACGCTGCTCCAAACCCGCCCCCGCAATACCCTCGAGTCGGCGCTGGATCTAATTTCTAAGACCTGACGCATTACTTCTTGCACATATGGTCATGAGTCACACACGAGTGATTTCCGTCAAGATGTTCACGGTCTCTGTCTTGGCAAATGAGGCGGGCTTTGCAGCTAGTTTTACTGATCATGCTGCATGCGAAGTATTTCGTTTCCTTGTGCTTTCCTTTGTAGTCGTAGTAGTGATCATCGTCCTCCATTGTTTGTTCTAAGTGGGTAGTCGTACGATTGAGAAGTGAGCTTCGGAGATGGCTACGTGTAAGATGAGAAGACGTTTACCCGGACTTACTAGGCACACCAGTGATCCCAACACCAGCCGATAAGAAGATAAGATTAATAAATAGTATATACGAAATAAAATAAAACTGAAAGAATTATTTAGACCATTTGGGCACGTTTCGTCATTAGTTATTCAAGTTTGTAGACTATGATATTACTATTCTAAACGTCAGTAGTTAAAAAAACTATAATACTACTATTCTAAACATCAGTCGCTAAAAAAACTATAATATTACTACTCTAAACATCAGTCGTTAAAAAAAACTGTGAAAAAAATTTCGAGAGAAATGTTCATTCAATTTTTACTTTGACGTCCAGTTAGCTCTTATGCTGCATAATCTACAGCTTGTTCATTTAGTTTTAGCTTAGGGTCGTACTGTCTTGTCCCACTCCTCAACGAAGCTGATCATTCCACACTATTACAAGCTTAACGGACGTAGAGTCTTCGGATAACTCCAACCTTTACCCTGTCAAATGGAGCAAAACAAGACTTTGGAGAACCTTTTTAATGCTTGACAAATTTGGTGTGACCATCGCAACCCCACTAGGACTTATCAAATCCGGAATGTGGTTTCACGACACCGACTTGACTAAAGAGCACCACGGCGTGGCTTACGCTCGGCGTGAAAATATGAGGGCGGGGATTGTAAAGGCTATTCATGTTCGCTGTAAAGGGTTCACACAAGCGCGGTTTTCAGCGTATGGCGAATAGCTGTAGCAGCAAGCCAACCCATGGTGGAAAGGCACTTTACGGTTGTAAAAACCTCAGCGGGCCACCGGTTTTCGACACCGACACTGCCCTCAAAGATATTAGCTGCCTTTTTTCATAAAGCCCGATAGGTGTAAAGGATGCTTGGAAGGCCATTTAAGTCAATCTAGCGCATAACTACCTTAAACATGTGGTTTTGTTTGGCGACCAGCTGCCGAGGCTCGTTGGTTCCATTATTATGTGAGGTATCCCTAGCTAACATGGGATATTGTAGCGGCAGAAAATGAAGGGGCTAGTAATCAAATCCCCATGGGGTGCTCAATTTTGATAAAACCAGATATGATATTTAGATATGTGATAAAACCGCCCATTTTAAGTATGATTTTGGTGTTAAAACCGGCTAATTCGCAGTAGTTTTGGCGCTACAGGCTCCCCAAAAAGGTGTCTCCGAGGACCTTTAAACGGGGAAACAGCTGCTATAATGCTGATATTCTATTGGTCAAGAGTGTGGAAAGGGCAAAACAGTTGTACAAACAGGCGTTAAAAATAAAACGTTCAAATTTAAACAGAAGGATTTGTATAAATTTAAAGAGTAATTACTCACCATCTTCCTCATGAGCTTCTTACATTCTACTAGCGAAAGCATTAAATTATAAGATTTTCATATGATATCACGACAGAGCGGTTTTAACCCTACATAGGCCAAAATGACAAGCGCACCTCGGCGAAATTGGTGTCTGGGTCGAGGTTCCATGCCCAGAGCACCCGAAAAACTGTGCTTTTCCCAAGGCGCGTCGCCTCTTTAGTTCGATCGCGCGAGTCCCGCCCTCCACTTCTGCCTGCTTTGGCCTCGGCGACGAAATAATCATATACATTGCAAACTAGGGTTTTCTCGTCCGGACTGAGCTGGTGTCTGCGTTGCATTGCACTTCCTGAAATGAAAGAGATGAAGAGTCTTAATTTATGGAAGAAGGAACTACGAAACCTCAGCTTTCTATCCGCGCCCTTTGCACTTAATTTACATTGAACCCAGCAGCTCTCGATAGTAGCAACAAATGTTAAGCGTCTCTGTTGTGCAAATTACCTCAAGTTGGCTCTGAAGTCTTCTCTGTCTCAGCCACTTCATTGATGTCAGTCGACGGGCTTGTCTTTTTTAACAGCTTCGTTGGAAGAAGCGACTTCTTGTGCGCTTCAGCTGCATTAGCATCTTTCTTTATAGCTGCAAATCGATCTCGTGCAGCCTTCTTCTCCAGTAGTTGGTTCTATTTCTTTGTAGCAGCTTTCCCTCGTGAGACTCGCTTTTTTGCAGCAGCTTCCTCTTGCGCGGCTTGCTTTAGTACGGCGGCTTCTTTTTGTGCAGCTTTCTTCTCTATTATTGGATCTTCTTCAAAGTGACTGTTTTTTCTCTCAGCTCTTTTGAATCTCTTTCTTTCGCTTTTTTCACCTTCTCAGCAGATTTCTCTCTTCGATCTTCCTCTGCTTTAAAAACCGAGATTAATATCACGTTCCGTGTCATGAGAGCACCGCCTTCGACAAGTGTTCACTGTCGTTTTGATATTGGCTGGAAGGTGTGAGAACGCGGAATAAGTTCTAGTAGCTGCTGAAACCCCAAAAATGCTGCGTCGAGAGATTCAGGTGAGATGCTTTGACGGTTAAGGTGTCGCTCCTGTCGTTCTGTAAGAACTTAGGTTTGAAAATGAAAATTGATCGCTGGCATATCGACTACTACTGGATCGCTTCCAATGATTTTGTTGAGCATCCCATCCACAGGTAAAGGAAAAATTCCGGTGTTCTTCAAAGACTCTTGACTGAACTCATGGCTAATAGCCCCAGTCCATTTTCCTGGAGGCTCAATCGGGGAGGGTTTCGACATGTTCATCGCCGCCAACGTCTTCTTGGCCGCACAGACTAGTGAATATAGACGCAACATTCATTGGCTCAGCAAAACCTGTCCATGCCATGCTAACGAGGTGAGTGATACTGGGCTGTGGACGTCCGAACATGATGAGGAAATTACTCAGCAGAGTCTGGCAATTCCGCTTCAAGACGAAGACAACGTTTATGTCCAATGGCTGTGCGAAGTGACTGGTGTGCGACGGTAGAACGAAGCGTTTAATATTTTGAGCCTTCGCGTAGTTTAGCTCCACACCACTGATGTGTGAGAAGTGGCCAATTAGAATTAATAAAACCGGACGCTGTACGTTCTTCTTTGTCATCCCCTTGTCGAATACCTTTACCAAGTGCAAGGCCAAGAACAGGTTCATATTCGAGGACTAGGACATGGAGCAGACAGCGCCATAAAAAAAAGACCAAGAACAGGTTCATATTCGAGGACTAGGACATGGAGCAGACAGCGCCATCACCTCCATCCACTCTAGCTGCCTGTTAATTCCTGGGAATATGAACACCGGAGGTATGTGGTCGCCCACAGCACTCACACAAGCCATGGCTGACATGTTTTCGCGATCATTGGACCGCACAACGTTAGCTCGCATGCCCTTGGAGCAGATCACAAGGGGTAATGCTGCCTTGTAGGCAAAACCCCGTTTCGTCACACCTCCAGACTTAAGCAGCACTTAGTCCTTCCATAGCCTCTTGCAAGATGATGTGGTACGAATGAATGATCTCCTTTGTCGATATTTTGAAGCGCTTGACTTCCAGGATTTGAGTTTTTATGCGAGTTAGCCGGTCTCTGTGACGATCAACAAAGCGCGTAGGACATCTAGAAGAAGGAAAGAACTTGGGCCTGGCCTTTCCTGCCTCTCTCTCTCTCTCTCTCTCTCTCTCTCTCTGTCGTGCAAGAATGCTCAGCTCACCGTGCGTCATGCACACACCCGGCTTTAAACGGTACATAATTACTTGGTCAATACCTTCTTCTTCGTCCATTGTCAGGGTAGCCTTGCGACCGGACTGCCCATCAGCGCTAGCGACCTTTTCAATCGCCGATGTAGACTTG